GGTCCGGGCAGTACATTTATGACATTTCTCGGGTCTGCACGGGTCCGGGTCCAACTTTTGAAATGAACGACGGGTCCGGGTCGGTTCGGTGTAGCACATTACGGGTCTCTTCCGGGTCGGGCATGAATTTTTGGACCCGTGAAGACCTCTAATCCACATACGCGCTTCCGATCGGTATGTTATCCGAACAGCATGTCCAGGTTTGGAGGTAGTCTAGGACGCATTGTGATCGGATCTCAGTGTAATGTAAACGCAATCCAGCCATCGTGTCTACATTCACAGGTGGATGTCACACCTCTCTCCAGAATAGAGAGCTGCGTGGTTTTGCGATGTCGAGTGCGAAGTACATGTAGGCTACATCGCAAAAATATACTGAAATGTTTCCCTTCACAGTTTGCACCTGAAAGTGGCAGGACCATTCATTTTCTGTAATGAAAGGACATTTTTCCCACCACAGCTGGCAACGTTCTCGGACACATACGTCTCTCTGTACCATTTCCATTAGTGATGGCCGGTTCGTGAACGAATCGTTCTTTTGAACCGGTTCTTTTTAGTGAACCGGTCGAACCAGTACACTAAATCGGACTGAATCGTTCGAAACAGTTCGCGTCTTGCGTCAGCGCTAAACCACAAGTTACTAAAGTTACTCACTTTCAGACATGCCTGACAGTCCCTCCGAATCGAAATAAACCAATATCCATTAGTACATTTTATTCAGTAACTCAAAAAGTTCACTGAACGGAGACATATATTGGTGCCGAGAGAAGTGATGAGCACGAGCAGCTGATACTGCGCATGCGTGTACTACCGAACATACAGGTACAGCGGTCGGATAACCAGTACAGAACCGAGAACTGTTTCTTTCGGACACGTTCGACATACTGAGAACTGATGAGTTGATGAGCTGAGCATGCGTGCATTTTTTTCTGAGGGACGAAATGTACGTTTCCATGTCTTTAGTTGAACATCAGTAAGTGTAACAAAATAAAACATTTTTGAAACATGTTTATCCCATTACTGTATCACTGTATTATTTTAACGATTGGAAATAATGATTGGATTCTAAAACTGTCAAACTACTAAACATTTATTATTAAATAATATTTTCAGGAACAGCTAGCTCATTTAATTTGTAAGTTACAATATAAATCATTGATGCCAAGGTTTGGTGCACTGCTTAGTAATCACTCTTGCCAAGGTTTGGTGCACTGCTTAGTAAATGTTTATAATGTGTTAACATAACGAATTAAACATATATGTTTAATTCGTTATGTTAACACATTATAAACATGATATAGACTGTATAGGCTACAGAAGGCTATATTGGAGACAGACATGCATCGATTTAGTTTTGTCGACTGTGTATTCAGGTTTCAGGTCAGCACACACAGGCCTATGCTATGGTTCTCGAGTCGAGAACTGGTTGTTGCAGTTCTTGAATCACTAGTACAGAACCAAGAACTGTTTCTTTCGGACACGTTCGATACGGAGAACCGATGAGCTGGAGATACTGCGCATGCGTGATAGCACCGTCTCTGAACAGAACTTTCTTTCGGCCGGCTGATCCTGTGCTGATACATGAGCACGCAGTAGTACGGGTGAACCCAGGACTTAAATGAGAGGGCGAATCGGCGAAATGTAAGTTTATTTAATAACAAATAAAATGATGAAGACCATTTATGCATTTTATATATTTAAAACATGTAAAACATCCGCGTTAGCACATCGCCTAGGCTGCAGCAGGGTTCGTTTTCAAAATGTAAACGTAAGAAACTTATCCAAGATGATTATGACAATGCATACTATTATTTAACTGAAGTTGTGATTACAAATGCCCTTTAATTTGAAGTATTTTTATCCGCCGGGATGATAGAATTGACGTCATTACGTGATGACGTAAAAGAACTGGTGAACCGGTTTTTTGAACCGGTTCATTAAAACGAACTGTCCGAAAGAACCGGTTCGTGGAAAAGAACCGGACTTCCCATCACTAATTTCCATTACGGCATCTATCAAAATTATCAGTAGCCTACTTGCAGCCTCTTCATCCTCCTCATTTTGCAAAATTTGTAAAATGTCCCCCGACTGAAAACTGTTTTTTATAGAAAACACACCACTTCAGGTCGACTTTGCACCAGAGCCAGATCCTTTTTTTTGTGGGAAATCGAGATCTGATCTGTTATCCAGATACAGAAGACACTTGATGTGGACAGGTGTAAACGCACCGTGTCCTGATTGGCTCATGATCTGGTCTGCTTGATCGCATGGTAATGCAAAGTGTAAATGCAGCCTAAGGTGGTCATTCTGGGTAGAAAAAAAGCACCTTCAAACGCAAACAATAGCACCCTCCATTGATACTGTATTAATACATTGGTGAAACAGATTTGGCAAGCACTCAATTGCATCCATTACAACTTGTTTTTTGCCGTGGTGAGCAATGTAGCCAATCACAGACATAGTTGTTTATCTCTTGAATGCAATATAAGAGTCAAGAAAGAGATTGTTTTAGCTTTACAGTAGTTATTATCCAGCTAAAGTTAGTTTGATTGATTCACTTCCGTTGCAAAGATCATTAGTTATTAACTTTGGGGGCGCTTGCATCACACCATTCTAAGGGTTAGTTCACCCAAAAACGAAAATTAAGTCATTAATTACTCACCCCCATGCTGTACCAACCCCGTAAGACCTTCGTTCATCTTCAGAACACAAATGAAGATATTTTTGATTAAATTTGAGAGGTGGATCACTGCTAATTAGGCTGCCTAAGGGATCGAAACTTGACGGCCCAGAAAGTCAATGAAGAAAATGTTTAAAGGGGTGATGAACTGAGAAATCAAATTTTCCTTGAGCTTTTGACATCTAAGAGGTCATCATATTATAAGAATATCCTGTAAGTTTCAGAACTGAAAACGTCCTTGTTAGTCCAATAAAAGCTTTTATTGACACCAGCCTCTGAAAACGACTCGTTTTTAAAAGTGGGGAACTATGACGACAAAGAGGATAAAACACCACCCCCACAGAAGATGATCAACGCCTGCTTCACCACGGCAGGTTTAGCCCCGCCCACCGATTCGCGCATTACACACATAAGTATCATACATGTACATGCTTACCTCGTGATGACAAACTGGATCACTATGGAGCAATACAGAATATTGTGCAGTGCCTGGTTGTGGAAGAAGACAGTCGCTGCATAAGCTTCCTGTGGATTCCAATAGGACTGCATGGATAAAATTTATTTTTAATGACGTTCCAGCTGATGAGGTAAAACATCGTCGTCTGTTCGCTTCACTTCACTGAGGATTGTTTTGTAAACAAGACTGGATTTGCAGATCGATTAAGAGTAAAGAACGGTGCTGTGCCGTCTATATTGGATCTGACAGGAATATTGTGCAACACACGGACTCTGGGTTGAACATGTATGGGCGAATCCGGTTGCCATTTAAAAAGCCAGTTCATGACCCCTTTAAATATTCCATGTGATTACATTAAGTTTACTTACAACTATAAGTTTATCGAGCGATGAGAATACTTTTTGTGCGGAAATAAAACAAAAATAACGACTTTATTCGACTATTCCTTTTCTTCCTTCTGAGCTTGAGACGAGAGTTCAAGAGATTTCAATGACGCATGTATTTTTCTACTACTTCTTTCGCAATTCTCACGCATGCGTCGTGGAAATCTCTTGAACTCTTGATCCACCTCTCAAATTCAATCAAAAATATCTTCATTTGTGTTCCGAGGATGAACGAAGGTCTTATAGGGTTGGTACAGCATGGGGGTGGGTAATTAATGACTTAATTTTCATTTTTGGGTGAACTAAACCTTTAATGCGCTCTGACCTAATGCTGGTGGCTTGAGAACGCAAACCTTGAAATAGGTTTGAAGGTGCAAGTGTTGAAAAATGTTTAAAAGCGTTATCATCTCAAAAAACTCACAAACTTAAAAAACGTGAATCCGTGAAAATGCAGACGCCGTGCACATCCGTACTATCTAGTCTATAGGTATGCACGTTTGAATATATATATGCACAAGCGTGTAGTCAAAATTGACCTCACCAAATTACTTGTCTGGCCTTAAAGGGGTCATCAGATGCAAAAATCACTTTTTTAAAACACTAATGGTGTTTGCATATGTGTCTTTGCAGTGTGTCATACAATGAAAAAAATCCATTCACTCCTATTTTTTTTAATCCTCAAAATGTCACGATCCACACACGGGAAACGGGTTAAATCCAAAAGCAGTATTTTAATAGAGGATAATCCAAACTCGTAGTCACACATGCAGGGTCAAACCAATAGAAGCCATCAAAACAAATTAAAAAAAACAGGAACTAGGAACTAAACACAGACCAGAAGTGGTGTGACACAAAATACAAGGACTCTGTGAAACACACTGAAGAGACAGGGTTATATACAATGATATTCAATGATAATGGGGAAATGGCTGAGTGCAGTGATCAGTGATGAGGAACAGCTGAGTGCAATGATAAGACAAGGATCGTGGGAATTGTAGTTCATAAGTGAATGACACCGTGGGGAAGGAGGACATCTAGTGGACACCTGGGTCACACAAACCCTGTAACACTGTGACATAAAAAGCCTAAACACTCTCTATCAAGCCTTTTGGATTTTCTTTTGGATGACATTGCTCATGCTCCGCTCACGACCACATGCTATCCCGAATTAGCATATTTCCATCCTCAGCCATTTGTATACTGTCCACCAAGGCAGGTTGCTCATTATCATTTAAAGACACATGCACTGAAATGGGTTGTTGTAAGCTGTTTTTGAGGAGGTAAAAAGATTGTTGTTTTACATAACCATTGAGGAATTTTAACCAAAGTATGTTACAAAGTTTACATGAAGAATCAAAGAATCACACCAACTTGTGGAAAACGGGCATCCAATGACCCCTTAAAAAATTCAATACAGAAATTTTTGTCGCTTCTGCGTATCCATGTGAACTGGAATCATTTTGACAATGTTTTATCTGTACAGAGGTAAAGGGAAGGAAATGAGGCCTTCACAGGGGGAGACACTTCAGTAGTGTCCGGGCGCAGGTCCTTCATCAGATCTGGTTCTGGTAAGAACTCTAGCTGCTGCGTTTTGGACCAGCAGTAGTTTGTTCATTAAGCATGCAGGGCAACCACCCATAAGAGGATTACAGTAATTTAGCCTTGATGTCAACAACGAATTAACTAGCTGTTACGCATTTGTCATTGAAAGCATATGTCTTAATTTAGATATATTTTTAAGAATTAATAATGTGGTTTTACAGATACTAGAACTTTCAAATGAAAGATTGGTTTCAAAGAGCAAACCCAGGTTCCTAACCGACGACAAAGACTTGACAGAGCAGCCTTCGAGTGTTAAACATTATTCTAGGTTATTACGTGAGGACATTTTTTGTCCAATGATAAGAATCTCTGTTTTTTTTTTTCAGAATCAACCCTTTAGGCGCCAGTTTTTTTTCCCTTAAAACGTTCGATTTTGACATCTTAACGTCATATGGTGGCAGCAATCATGGATTATAGAATTTTCATGAAAAGTCACATTTAAATGATAAAATGCAGCACTTCTTTCCCCGCAAATTTTCCATCACCTTCTGTATGCTATATTGCAAAATACTGAATGCTCAGGTATATAGTAAGCAGTAAACAAACTGTGTAAAGCATTACTAATAAATGGTAGAAAAAACCATATGAATGTAGTGGTTGGCCTTTTGCTGTAGAGATTTTCCATTTACCACATACAGTAGGCACTCTGATTCCATGTATGGGGCAAGACCTGTTTAGTTCAAAAGATCACTCGTTACGGCAAACCACAGATTATTAGTGATGATACGAGCAGGGCGAACGCGGACAGATCTGCCTCGCGCCAAGTATGCACACTATTGCGACTCCCAGGGGCACTGCTAAGGATTTTGGGCCCCATGAAAATAATCTTGACAAAATCATGCGCTTTTATGGTATTTTGACTTATTATTCTCATGTATTTAAGTCAATCAGACAATTGAACTCCATCCCATGTCCACTTTCGTAATTTGTCCTCTGTAATGCAAAGCCGTGCACCCACGACACCCTGCTCAATCGAAACGTATTGAGATACGTAGGAATTGATAAAAAAGTAGAATGGAAAGAGAAACGGGTAGTGTAAATAAGCAATCAATGTTTATAAGAGGAACAGATGGAAAATAAATAATTGATATTGTCAGATCATTTAAAAATAAGAAGTCAACTGACTGAAATGACATGGACATGTCTGTGGTAAAACATTATCGAGTGTGTTGAGAAACCCCTGGTAACATATATGCAATTTGTCTCTTTAAAATGGCATATTTCCTAAAAAAAATGAAAATCGCTAAAGTTAAACCCATATATAAAACTGGACATAGATACCTTTTCAAATTATAAGCCCATTTCTTTGCTTTCACAATTTTCAAAAATATTGGTAAAATTAGTTTACACAAGATTAAATGATTTTCTTATAAAATATGATATACTAAGCAAGCAACAATATGGGTTTAGAAGTATTAGAACAACCTCACATTTTTTGACACCAGGAAACAGCAAAGAGAGTAATTTAAAGTTAATAATTTTAACAATCAAATATACTTTTTTTAGCACCACAATTTTACTTGTCTCCTCTTTGTCATGGGCCCCGAGAATCGTCATCGTTTACCCCCCCTTTACGGCGCCCCTGTTTGTATCTCATTCTACTCTTAATATCTTGGGCTTGACTGAGACCTGAATTCGTCCAGAAGACTCTCTCTAACAACTTCTGTTTCTCTCAACTTTCTTGACGAGACTTGGGCACTTAAACAAGGTATTCCCCTGAAGAGATGTGAAGAGACCACTCCCCTTACCCGGTCTCATCCCAAGACGTCATATAACTGACGTTTTGGGACGTCTTTTGACCATACGTCAATATTCGCCTTTTTAGGGCCCCCTTAAACGTCGGTAGATGAGGTTATGGGATCCTAACTCTACCCCAGACCTAAACTTAACCCTAAACCTAACCCGTCACCTAACTGACGTTAAAGGTAAAGCGTCAGTTGTATGACGGCCCGAGATCGCCATCTACCGACGTTTAAGGGGGCCCTAAAAAGGCGGATATTGACGTACGGTCAAAAAACGTCCCAAGACGTCAGTTATATGACTTTTTGGGATGAGACTGTGTTAAGATGGTAGTTCTCTTCCTGAGGTTCATCTGCGGTCCATCCCCTTATCTCTCAGGCAACCACCACAAGAATCTTTCTTTTTTAGTTTTTCACTCCCCTTATTCCCCCGTAGTACTGGGACACTTGGCTAGTTAAGCATAACCCCCACATTAACTGGTCTAATAATAGTATCCTCTCATGGAACCTGTCTTGTCATGTCGAATGTTTATTGTCTGCTAATCCTCCTGTTTCTCTTGTATCTGTGTTTCAGGAGGACCCAGATGATTTTACTGGGGTCCCGGAGGAGTATCATGATTTGCGGGTGGTTTTCATCTGTTCTCGGACCACTTCTTTCCCTCCTCACTGTCCTTACGATTGCAGTATTGATCTTCTTCTCGGTGCCACGCCACCCTGCGAAAGATTCTCCTTGTCTGCTCCCGAGCGCGACGTGTTAGAGAAATATCTTTTTGAATCCCTTTTTTTCTTCCCGTCTCCCGCGGAACGCAACAACGATGTTGGAAATCTGTTTGGCTTTGGGTGAGGGGTGACAGTGGTTAGAGGGATCTACCATTTTATTTGTTGTCTGGACTGACCATAGAAACCTAGAATACATACGCTCCGCTAAGCGACTAAATGCTCATCAGACTCGCTGGGCTTTGTTTTTTGGTCGTTTTGATTTCATAATTTCTTATCGTACAGGCTCTAAAAACAAAAGGAAGCGTTACCACTCTCTCTTGCCACTTTTATCCCACAGACGTATTCTTGATTCCCGAGATGATCATTTCGCCAGGTCAAGTTACTGGTGCAGCTATCTGAGGAATTGAAAGACTAGTTAAGCCTGCTCTTTCCCACTCCGTCATTCCACATAACCTCCCAGGCAATCTTCTTTTTGTACCTGTTACAGCACATTTAGCAGTGCTTCAGTGGGCTCACTCAACACTGTAAAAACGAACAAGTTCATTCAACTTAAAATAATTTGTAACCTGGCTGCCTTAAAATCTTGTGTCAAGTAAGCTAAGAAACTTAAGTTAAGTTAACTTAAGTACACATTTAAAGTTGTGTAAACCTAAATCCCAGTTAAGACAACGTAAAATTAGTTACACCAACAAACTTGTCTTCTATCTTGAGTTGTTTAAACTAAGCATCTTGTTGAGTCAATTTATAATAATTAGTTGTGCAAACAATCTAAAAATTGGCTAAACTATTCATTTAGTTGAATTAACTTATTTTTTTAAGGCAGCCAGGTTACTTTTTCAAGAATAGTTCATTTTAGTTGGAATGTTAAGTTCATTCAACAGACTGAACTGCGTAATTTGCCCACACAACTTGAGTTTCTGTTTTCTAATAGTACTACATTAGAAAACAGTTTTTTATTTAAATTTCTTTTACTTCTATCTAAAGCACTTTGAATAACCATTGTGCATGAAAAATACTATACAAATAAACTTGCAGTGCCTTACATACAAATTATTCATTGGCATAGATGAACAGGCAGAATGCTATTTTATTTGATTTCAAAGCAGACAAAAGCAGACTCCTTCTTAGTGTTATGTACTGCATGTTAAAACACCTTACCATTAAAACATTTAGCTAAACATTGACATTTCATGTTAAGGTTTCTGTTAACATGAACATTTATCTGAAAAATAAATGTATGCAAACTCTGGTACATAAAACTGTAAACATAGAAATAAAATCTTACAGCCTTGAAGTTGTAAAATATAAACGCTTACTGGCTTAGACCTGCCGTAGTTAAAGGAGAACTCCGGCGAACAATGAACCTTTGGTCTAATAAAACATCGGTACCTAGTCAATCGTTCTCTGAGTTTTGTTTTCTTGATAATCGAATGTAAAGAGTTTTATCTCTAAAAACTGTTTAGCGTATAATGCTATGGGGGCATTGACTAAGTAAAAAGAAATCGCTAGTTTATACCACTAACAAGGCTCAAAATAGCCCCACACTCACACAGTAACATAATGAGGCTCCATACATGCAAAACGAAGCATTGAGAACTTTGTAAGTGTACAGACCGTTTAATAAGAAGATACTTTATGAAGACAGTTCACTTCGCGTATACAGGCAGGAGCCATCTTAAAAAATAGTCTCTATTATAAGTCTCTATAGACCTATACCTTTAATAAATATTTTTTACTGTGACAACCCATGTCATATCAACGCACCTCACAGACACGGATGAAACTGTTGGGATCCTCCTTCAGGTAATATGGAAGTCCGAGCAACGCAGCTGCTCTTCTCTTCTGGTTTGAAGTCTCAACACACAACAAAAACAAGAACGTTAGACAAACTTTAACTGTAGGACCAAGCATGCTGCTTAGTGGTGCACGATATATCGGCCGCCGATATAACATCGGCCGATTTGGTCAATTTTTTACACATCGGTATCGTTCCGATGTCAAAATAGGGCCGATGTGAACAGGCCGATGATCATTCCCTGTGTATTTGACGTGCGTGGGGGCGGGATGTTGTTTTTGCACGTGTATTAAAAGCGCAAGTGCGTTTAAACATCAAGCGCGGTAAACATCAAGCGCACGAAGACTGGAACTGGTGAGCTGTTTTCTGCCAGCCTTCCTAATGCGTATTTTTGTCCAGCCAAAGCCATATTTGACCGGTAAGTGATGTAGATGAGTGACTGCTGCGCTTGTTTAACTGAGGGAACGAGAGTGAAAGCACCGGTCCCGCGCGCCGTCTTCAAAATGTCTTTCGCTTGTTTAACTGAGGGAACAAGAGTGAAAGCACCGGTCACGCGCGCCGTCTTCAAAATGTCTTGCTCTTGCTCTCTCTCTCTCTCTCTCTCTCTCTCCCCCTCGCGCATGTTTATGAATTGAGTTGACTGAATATCTTTGAGAATACACGATGGTAAGGTCGGAAGACGAAGTTTTGTTCTTCTGAACTACTGGTTGTGAATTGTGAAACCACACTTTCAATAAACCAAAAAAAAATCTATCGTGTTGATGAAATGTTTTCTGTGTCGACTGTCGAGACCATAGACTGTAAAAATAGGTCGAGACAAATCTCGTGCGATGTTCTAAACTGCCTGGATATCACACAACGTGTGCCTTGGTTCCGTTAATGACACATATGATTCGCGAACTAATGACTCCTTTGAACCGATTCACTTTAATGAATGGTTAAAACAACTGATCTGTCCAACACGAGCTCAAGAGACATAAATCGGAAACACTTTACAATAAGGTTCCATTTATTAAAGTGTACATTAAATGTGCACAATAAATGTGTTATTGTAAAGTGTAAGGTTCATAGATTAATAGAATGTTAACAAATTTTGTTAACATTCTATTAATATTAGTTTCTGCGGATTTACTCCATGACAAAACTACCCCAGTCATTCTAGAATGATTCATTCTTTCCAAATAGAGCAATTCAAGTAATCTGGTGAAATTGTTTTTATATCACAATGGGCTCTATGCACGGCGGTATTTCCGGTGAAGATATAAGAATGCTCGATTACTTCCACCGATCGTAGAGTCCAATACAATACCGAGAATTTATATTGAATTTTATACTCTATGGCTATAATAAAGAAATGTTAGTCACAGAAACAGACTAAACAGACACCCCTCGTTGTGTTTATGCTTCTTTTAAAAATTATATTAAATAAACATAACTATATATAAAATTACATCTAAACGTATGAAAGTTTCATTTCAAAGACGGGAGGACAGTAAATTTTGAAGACTCTGCCATAATACGGTTTTCCCCGGTTTTCCTCCGCTTTAATCTCCACAACCGGAAACAGACGAGCATCCTTGCGTCAAATGCGGAACTTATGCGTGCATATAGCCCATATATATCACAGAAAAATAAAATATCACAATGTCATTTTTTACCAATATCGTGCAGCCCTAATCCTCGCTATGTGTTTTCTATACAAGGATATCGACATCGGTAAATATCGGTATCGGCCATAACAGCAATGTTAATATCGGTTATCGGTATCGGCCACAAATTTTCACATCGGTGCATCACTAATGCTGCTGATGTGTCACATGCATGGAGTAGTTGGCTTTCAGTTAGCACAAAAAAAGTGGGAGCGAAAAAAATTTAATTACTAAAACCATCACAAAGTTTTTTTTTTACTAAGCATGGAGTAGTTTGTTTTTTGTCACAAACTACTCCATGCTTGCATACTGAATAAATGTAATGTGTGGTGCCCAAAAGTTTTTGATTTTTCTTAAACACAATTCTGTGTATTTCATACACATTATCACTGTTGTCCAGTACGTTTTCTAGAAAAAAACTTAAGTGTCCTTTTAATGTTATTTAGAGGCCATTTGAGTTTTTTTGTTGTTGTTTCCTTAGACCCAGTAAACCCTACACTGAATTGCAAACAAGCGAATGACAGTAACAGCTTTTAATTTCCTTAGGTTTGACAATGATTGACAACTTCTACAAGTGACAATGTTATGTTTTTGTTAAGGGACTGATCAAGGATTGGGGAAATCAGATTATCCTTACTTGTACATCAAGGGGCTCAAGGAGACTCCGCAGGTCAGAACTGCTACTAGTTCGCACTCTGTACATCTGTAACAGTCTTGGGACATACTTGTCGAGTCCATCAAAGAAAGACTGGTGGAGATCAGCAGAAACCAGGCGCATAAACTCAGCACTAATCTATTAAGAGAAAATCCAAAGAAAAAGTCAGTACATAACACAGTAAAAGTTGAGCAAAGAGCTTGGCATTAGTTCAGCTTTGACTATTATAAGGCCATTCAAAAAAAAAAAAAAAAAAATGCTGCACCTGGGAAAAACACAACTAAAAACTAAAAAAGAAAAACAAATCCCCAAAACAACAAATGCATAAACCACTGATATTGAACCAAAACTCAAATCTAAATCTTGAATGACTCCAAAGCTTCACATTTGTAAAGATACAAAATTACCTGTTTTTTTTAAAAAAAGTGCTGGCCATCTGTCTTTGATTTCAGACACAGGAGGCTCATTGTGAACAATCTCCTTCCTTCGCAAGGCAAACGTGCTCACCATCAGAGAATCTATAATTTTCCAGTCACTCTTCCTTTTCGTCATCTCCTCCTTCAGAGCTATCCTCTCTTTTTTAAGGCAGTCTGGAGACTTCCCTTCAGGAAAATCTGGCAAAAAGTTAAGCTCAGAACGTTTTGGTTTCTTCATTGTCCTGTTCCCAGTTGGTGTGTCTGTTGACCTTTTTTGATTGACTGTAAGCTCTGGGCATCCAGCAATACGGTACTTCTGACGGAGGTTACCCATCTTAAAAGTGAGGCTGAACTTCCAGCAGTACCACCCCTGTGAAGAACTTGGCTCTCTCAAACAGGGATTCTTT